GTTTATTTTTCCCGACCTTTTTTACAGCGTGCTAGACAGCAAACTGGCTAGACAGACAAATTGTCACTGAACCATCCTCTTTTTTGTTTGATTTTCATCTGCTTTTCAAATGCGGCCTCATTGGTTGGAAAATCACTTTATAAGATTTTGAATAGCTGCTAACTTGAAAAGAACAACCTTTCTTAAGAGAAGAACAAAGGATAGCTAAATCCTTCAGTTTACTTAGAGCTTCATAATAATGCGCAACTCATCCACGAGATGATGTCATGAATTGGAATACTTTACTGGTAAATACAGAATTGAGTCATATCTTGCGAGGCTTTCGAGCTAGTCTCTCGTTCAGTAGCTAAAACAGTGAATCAAGTTTATTGGTAGTTCTAAAACTTGACTTATTCAACGGTGAATTCAAGATCTCCGCTTCTACTGGAGCTACAAGGGACTTTGCACTGACTTCTTGTATGGAGCTTAACTCTCACAGTTGCATCCAATCTGGGAAAATGAAAATATGCGCTGACAGCGTTACTCTTGAAAAGTCTGATACCAATTTCCCGAGAGCAATGAGAGACGACGCACAGTTAGGAATAACTCAAAGCGAAAGACGTGACTATGAGAATACCGAACTGTTTTCCAGTTTGCCAACTGTGTTTGAAGGAAAGATGTCCCTCAGAGAACCAAAGCCCTCCAGTCGCGAGCAATTATCAAATAGTGGTGAGTACTTAAAGTATACACAGTTTGTTGTGTAATGGTTCACAAGCTAAGACCGTCAGTAAAGCCGGAGTTCGAAATGTGTACGCGTTTCATGTTTAAGTTAACGTTTTGCCTTTCATTGCCTTCTCAGTGACTAACTATTTCGCTTTTATTTTTTACAAGACAATTTTCGCTTCCTTCCATCAAATTTCAACATGTCTTGTGGTCAAAAGGTTATTCATCTGCATATATACAGCAGAATGATGTGTGAACGAGTTGTGAACTTCTCATGTCTGAAGTGTTGTCAAGTTTTTCATCTTAGTTAAAAAATGAAATCTAAGTGATCGCACTTCGCACCTTTATCAACTCAATTAAATATTCCTAACTGCTGTGTACCTACTTAATTCTGCATGGGCGATTATTGACTTTGCGAATACAGTTTTTGTATCACTGCGCACGTAAACCGTGAACCAAATTGACTTTTCATAACAATGCTTAACAGTTGAAATGATTAAATCAAGCCAGATAGGGCAACCTATTGGACACTCAAACACTCCAGTGTTAATGAAGGTTTATTAGACTTCAATGGAATCCCATTTTGAGTTTGTCCATGTTCAGGGACATTAATTAACAAGAGTTAATACTTTTAATACTTTTATACCCATTTATAATCGAGTTGTAAGCCAGGTGAAACCTCTATTTAACCCCATTATACACGCGACAGTCTCGTTACCAGCGTCCTCGCGGTCTTAATTCGGCCCAGTCTCAGCACAAAAGCGATATTTCGCTTCACGTCAGCTATTGATATTTATGTCAACCAGGGGCTCATTGGCTCTTGAGACAATGGATTCGTTTATGTCAGTGGTTGGCACGTTTGAATAACAACAAAACTATGTTTACAAACAAGAGATATCGCTATTGTCAAATTGAAGAAGCGTAATTTTTTTCATATACTTTGAAGTAGGAATGGTATTTGAACCAAATCATAGTAGGCGTTGTAAATATTTCCATAATCCGAGATATCACAAAGTCGACTTAAGCCTTCGTTATAAGGAATACAATAGAGTTAACTTATGAAATCAATGACATTTTATCAGTTTAAACTCTAATTAGGCTCCGTTTGAAGCAAAAAGAGAAGTCATGGATGGCCCATGACAGTCAAAGTCTTGATGACCTGTAATGTTCAGTTATACAAAACTTTAAAAAGAGAATTCGCCTCCAAAGCTGTAACAAGTCACTTTTATGATTATTGTATTACAAAAGCGAATCTTGAATCTAAAGATAAACTCAATATAAGTGGTTTTCTTTACAAAATGCTTGTATGGGAGGGGTGGATGGGACAGTTAGTTTCAGTTATGACGCTACCAATGGTATTTTGATTTTACAGCCAATCTGCGAATATCTGTATCAAATAATGACGTCAGAGGCGGGGATCCTCGGCCACTCTCCCCATTCTTCTCTCATTGCTCATCTCAGGAGAGTCTGGACGAAAACTTCGTTTTACGGCCGACAGGATTGCGGATGATTAATCGTAAAGTTTCAAGCCCGATTCCTGCGTGTATGACGTCTACCAGAAGGCGAACTCTGTCTGACGGTCCAACCGAGGCTCTAATAAGTCCAGTGATTCCACGGAGACGCCTTAGTCCAAGACAGCTAAAGGAAGGCATGTCACGTGTCAGGTCATGTCCAGTGATAAACTCTGGCTCAGATGAACACTTAAAAAAATCGTCGTCCTCACCTCCCGTCTCACCGCAGTTTACTTTTGCAGAACTATCATATGCCGGCGCGCAGCCGCAAAACAGAACCAAGTTTCACACGACTCCGATTGGTGCAAGCCCAACGCTCACATCCGCTGACCAAGAAAAGTTACCACGGATACATCAGACTCGCGGCAGTCCAATGCTCGTAAAGACGCAAAGAACACCCACTGAGTCTGCGCGTGAGTTGTTCAACGTGAGTCCTGTTTTGGGTGAATCCGCTGTCTCGATAAACCAGGACAATAACATTCAATGTGACTTCAACGATAAAGTGCAATACTATTTACATACTATATCTTCAGAAAAAGACATAGACCAGTAAGCTAGAAGAGTGGTATCCATAAAACCTCAAATATTTATCGTATAAAAAGATTTATCAGACAAAGTATCATAGTAAGATTTTTTTTCACATGAACTTAACCTAGTGGCTTTCTGCCGTGTTCATTCAAATGAGCAATTCTGAGTTGAAACATTAGTATTATAAAGCGAAAAAATAATCCAACCGATAACCCAACGGATCTGTTTAGCAGTTGGCGTTAGATAACATCGAGTGAAGCCAGATTGGACACCTTATGAATTTTACACAACGCATTATTTCCATAATGGAACGAGACTGGAATGTAGAAAGAGGCTAAAATAGCTGAAGAAACCAAAGCTACAATGCGCCAGTTATGCAGAGAACACAGTAGAGGGTTAAGCACTGATCTGCAGTGATTAGGGTTAAGCACTGAACTAAAAACGGTTATCTTTCAAATATTGTAATGGGGTACGGCATATATAAGAACATGTATATTTTAAAAATTACTGGATTTGGCAGCTAGTCCTCGATGGTGTAGTGGATATGGATGTAGGCTATAAAGCAAGTGACCCGGGTTCAAAGCATCACAGTGGAGTTTTCTATTTCACTTTTATATTACACAGTAAAGTTGGACTTAAGTTGTTCTTCATGTAATTTTACTGAAAGAAACAATCTGCCTTCAGCCGATGTTACCTAATGCTTAACCTAATGCTAACCCTGTTTAGCAACCTCGTTCCCAGGGCTCTCTCCTACTCAAAGAAGAACCCTGGGAACGAGTCTTATCTGTTTCGCTGTTCACTCAGAATCACAAACAGAGGCTATATTCACACCGTACTGGACAGCTTTTGCGCCGGCGCAAAAACCGTATCGGATAGGACTTCTGTTCACACAGAAGATTTTGGCGCGAATTCTGTCACGTATCTGTAACTGAGAGAAACTGCGCTCTAACATATCGGATAGGTGTTCATACTGTACTGCATAGCTTTTGCGCCCGCAGGAAACCCATACCAGATAGGGTTTCTGTTTACGAATAAGAAAGGTGATTTTGGCGCGATTTCTGTAATGGAGCAAAGCTGTGCCGCGCTACGTTATAGTGTGAATGACATAGCCAAATAAAATCCAGGGTAAGGTCGGTACACACTAGGCGACAAGTTGCAGCAACATGTCGCAGCGACACATTGCAGCGACAAAAAGCTCCCTTTGCACTGGAGAATTTTTGTGAAAATCTTTGTCGCTGCAACAGAATTTTGTCGCCGCAACAAGTCGTACAACTTCAGTCTGATTTGATTTTTTGCGACTTGTTCCAGCGACAAAATTCTGTTGCGGAGACAGATTTTCACAAAAATTCTCCAGTAGCCACGAAGCGATTTGTGGCTGTGACGTGTCGCCTCTCCGTGTTGCTGTAACCTGAGATCAGGCCCAATTTTAGCGGGTCTCATACATTCTCTCTAACCACTACCGCTAAAATTCAGTTTTCGTTTTGCCTTGCCCGCCGGAATGTTATTACAAAGCGAAACGAAAATTGAGCCTGATCTCAGGCTATGTTGCTGCAACCACAGTCGCCCGAGCTCTACAGACCGAGTGATCTGTCGCTGCAACGTATTGCTGCAACTTGTCGCCTATTGTGTACATACCTTTAGTAGTGCTTGGCACTTGCAATAAGATATAGGCTTATAGGGTGATATCCTAACAAATTATAGATAGAGAATCAGACGTTTCGGGTGTGTCGAACATGTAAAATTTTACCTTTGTAAAGAAACTAGGCGAGATTCCTTGGGGATGGAAAATTGCTGTTCACTAAAATTTTTATGATGAATCATGTGACGTAGAAATAGAAAACCAGAGTAATGTTGAAATAATTTCGATAATAAACCACTCTACGAAAATAAATTACAGCCTTTTAAAGGTACTAATAAAAGTGATTCATTTCGGATTCATTAATTTTTCCACAGACTTCGAGGCTAAAAAGTATTACTACAAACTTTGGAATCACGTTTACGGTAAAAGCAAGCGCCAGAATGAACTTGACAATTTTTCTAATTGATATATGAGCAGTCAAAAATTGTTCAAATTACTTCTTTTGAATAAAACCGTCAAAAACGACTTATTTTCTGTAAATACAAAATGCTTTGACGAAAAGTAAAGGAGAAAATTGGTCACGTGGTACAAATAGACAGTTGCGTTTGCTTTAAAAGCAATTCTAAATCTTTCTGTGAAACGGATTTCTTTCTATCCTACAAATGAGCTGCTATGAATCGTCAGTCATCCAATTCTTCTTTTTCTTTAACACTTGTGTGTCCCACTTTTGGTGAAAATCTCCCTAGAGCCTTACAAAGAACAGAGCTCACATCCAGTTCCCCCGGAATAGGAGTAGATGACCTCCGTAGTTCCCATGGCTTCTGCCGTCTTCCCCCGGGGGTTCTCCTCGAGTTAGCGGGGCCGTCCGGTATGGAGCGTGGATCTGAGCCTCTTCGCTTCAAATCGAAGGAACAATCCTCAGCCAACTCTCTTATATTCTGAAAAGATGCGCTTTTCCTCATTGAAGAATCCGCGACCGCCAGCTGTGTATTAGTCTTAGAAGTGTTATCTTCCAGTTGTTGTAGTTTACGAAGCATTTCTAAGGTTTTTTCACGATCATTATCGTGGTTATTATTTTTGTCGTGGTGTGAGTCTTCTTTCCCGTCCTTCTTTGATCGTGAAGACTCCGGAGCTGCAGACATTTTAAATTGTCTTGAAAATTACAAAATCTTGACAGAGTTCGTTGACAAAGTCCAAAAGAAGCGGCCTCAGTGGAGCTTAAGGTCTGTCGACTCTAATTTAGCCTTTTAAACTTCTTCTTATTAAAAGTCTGAAAAGTGCAACCAGTACTATATAACTTATAAACGCCGTTTCGTCCGGTATCAGCAGCCCTGAATAGTAGATAAATGTAGAGCTGAACTAGCCATGACACAGAGTCGTAACCAAGAGCACAAAAGAATGTTTAATCAATAAGAATCAAAGTTTGCTTTTGATATTTTAAAACATCAAACAAGTGGACAATTCTGTCAGACTTATTATCTGGGTATAATATGAAAAACAAATAAGATGACGTCATAATGACCCTCTTTAGTTAATACGATTTAGTATATTATTATAACAACAAGTCATCAGGGGGTTACAGACTTCCCGTTACAAACTCAACTCTGAAATCTTAACCAACCACGACGACGACGACAAGCAACGCCAACATCAAAATCTATATGGTTTTATGAGCAAAAAAACAGCTCTGCACGTGCATCTCGCTTCACTGTTAGTACATTTCGTCATGACGGCCATTAAACGACGACTACGACGTAAAATCTCCTTAGATCAGAATGCAATTTTCTATGGAGGAGGAGAACATACGAGCACGAATTTTTCTTTCTCATTTCAGTGAAGTCCTTAAGAAATCAACTCCAGGAAAAAATGGCCCATATTTGACAAATAGACGCGCTTAAGTTTGAAAAGACGAAAATTCATTTTTTTAGCGACGTTTTCATAGCCGGACGGTCGCCGTCGTTGCTTAAGCCCGGTTTCCATATGAACGCTACGATCGCTGAGAACAAAAAGTTCAGCGATCGCAGTGATCATAGCGATCATATGGAAACCACTCTCCAGCGATCGCAGCGACAACGAGATAGAAAAAGTTTTGGCCGTGCTTCGGGTTTAAAAAATTCTCACTCTAAATTGAGGTAGATTCAGGAGAAAAAATGAGTTTTACTTACGGAAAGCAAAAAATCCTTTTCATATCAAAGGCTTCGCACTTTATCTTCTTTGGAAATTTAGGCTTGCAGCTACTCACAAATGGCCTGTTCAATAAATGCGTTATTGACCAAACGTGAGCTCAAGAAGGCTGGATATTCGGTCCAAAATGCAAGTTCGATTTTTTTGTGTGTCTTTTTGGACCAAGGCGAAGTCAAGGTCAATTAAAAGAGCCAAAACTGAAGAACGAGCTCCTGGCCATTGCGGGACCAACGCGGGAAATTCCTTAGCTACCTGGTAGGCGTGGTAGCCAATCAGAACACAGGATTCGCTTTACCATTCAGCCATGTAATAATGGGCTCCTGGTTACTTTTAAAAACACAGAGAAGCCCGTTATCATGGTAACCTAGCACGAAAGTTTGACGTATGATATTCGTATCAGCTGTTACCAAACAAGTACGATAGTTATCACTGCTAATCTAAAAGGCTTGCATTACCATGCCAACACACCTGGTCCATAGCCAGTCCAAGGTCACTTGTTCTCACTTGCTCTAATCTTGAACCATTGAGAATCAGGCTACCGTCAATAGGTAAAAAAAAAAAAAACACACTTTACCAAAGGGTCCACAGCATATACTAAGCTACTTTAAATGGCATGGTGAAAAGAAACAATTACCACAGAAATATAAAAATGAAATTTGGAATCATATAAGCTCTTAAATGGTGTTTTATTCTTTCAAACATTTACATACCAATGTGACAGTTCGCCTTCGATACACCGAAATCTCTGTGATCTTTACGGGGAAGCCCTAGGCAGTAGAACCAGCCCTTTAACCGTTCAAAAGTCGTAACCAAGAGCACAAAAGAATGTTTAATCAATAAGAATCAAAGTTTGCTTTTGATATTTTAAAACATCAAACAAGTGGACAATTCTGTCAGACTTATTATCTGGGTATAATATGAAAAACAAACAAGATGACGTCATAATGACCCTCTTTAGTTAATACGATTTAGTATAATTATAAGAACAAGTCATCAGGGTGAGGGGGTTACAGACTTCCCGTTACAACTCAACTCTGAAATCTTAACCAACCACGACGACGACGACAAGCAACGACAACATCAAAATCTATTGGTTTTATGAGCAAAACAACAGCTCTGCACGTTCATCTCGCTCACTGTTAGTAAATTTCGTATGATGACGTTCATTAACCGAGGACTACGACGTAAAACCCCCGCAGATCAGAATACGACTTTCTATGGAGGACGAGAACATACGAGCACGAATTTTCCTTTCTCATTTGAAGTCCTTAAGAAATAATCTCCAGGAAAAAAATGGCCCATATTTGACAAGTAAACGCGCTTAAGTTTGAAAGGACGAAAATTCATTTTTTAGCCACGTTTTCATAACCGGACGGTCGCCGTCGTTGCTTAAGCCCGGTTTCCATATGAACGCTACGATAGCCGAGAACAAAAAGTTCAGCGATCGCAGCGCTCATAGCGATCATATGGAAACCACTCTCCAGCGATCGCGGCGACAACGATCGCTGAGATAGAAAACGTTTTGGCCGTGTTTTTGGTTTAAAAAATTCTCACTCTAAATTGAGGCCAGGCTCCTGTTGAGGCAGATTCAGAAAAAAATGAGTTTTACTTCCGGAAAGTAAAAACTCCTTTTCATATCAAAGGCTTCGCACTTTATCTCGTTTTAAAACTGAGGCTTGGAGCTACTCACAAATGGCCCGTTCAATAAATGCGTTATTGACCAAGCGTGAGCTCAAGAAGGCTGGATATTCGGTCCAAAATGCAAGTTCGATTTTTTTGCGTGTCTTTTTGGACCAAGGCGAAGTCACGGTCAATTAAAATAGCCAAAACTGAAGAAGGAGCTCCTGGCCATTGCGGGACCAACGCGGGAGATTCCTTAGCTACATGGTAGCCAATCAGAACACAGGATTCGCTTTACCATTCAGCCAGGTAATAATGGGCTCCTTGTTACTTTTAAAAACACAGAGAAGCCCGTTATCATGGTAACCTAGCACGAAAGTTTGACGTATGATATTCGTATCAGCTGTTACCAAACAAGTATGATAGTTATCACTGCTAATCTAAAAGGCTTGCATTACCATGCCAACACACCTGGCCCATAGCCAGTCCAAGGTCACTTGTTCTCACTTGCTCTAATCTTGAACCATTGAGAATCAGGCTACCGTCAATAGGTAAAAAAAAACACACTTTACCAAAGGGCCCACAGCATATACTAAGCTACTTTAAATGGCATGGTGAAAAGAAACAATTACCACAGAAATATAAAAATGAAATTTGGAATCATATCAGCTCTTAAATGGTGTTTTATTCTTTCAAACATTTACATACCAATGTGACAGTTCGCCTTCGATACACCGAAATCTCTGTGATCTTTACGGGGAAGCCCTAGGCAGTAGAACCAGCCCTTTAACCGTTCAAGAGTGATGTTCAAAAGCCTAAAAAAGGTTTGCTTCCAAAAACAGAGATACCTTCTTGTTGTTTCATTTTTGACCTTTCAATATAGTTGCCAGGCAACGCGCAACGCGTTTTAAAAAGGGGAAAATTAAAAAATGCATCGACGGTCCTCAACTAATGAATTAAAAGAACTAATGAGAAAACAAGAGTCAAAGCCGCCAGTTTTATAAGCCAGGGGTGATTCTGATCCCATATATATATATATACACCTTAATTCAACGCTACTTTCAAATGGCATGAGCAAAAGGCTGAAAAGGATTAAGAAAAGAAGCGTAAAATTACGAGAGAAATATAAAAATGAAATTGGAATCACATCAGCACGTTTTATTCTTTCAAACATTTGCATTTTGTGACAATTTTTCCTCCATACACAGAATACGCTGTCATCTTTACAGGCAATCTCCAGGCAGTAGAACTCAGTAGTCCTTTTACCGTTCTAGAGTGATGTTCAATAGCCAAATAAAGAACTGGTTTTGCTTCCGAAAACAGCGATACTTTTAAAGTGTTCCTGTTCTTTCATTTTTGACCTTTCAATATAGTTGCTGAGCAACGCGTTAAAAAAAAGGGAAATTAGGAAATGCATTAGCAGTCGTCAACTACTGAATTTCTCCAGAAAACAAGAGTCAAAACCTCTGGTTTTATATAAGCTGAATGGTGATACTTACCCTGGGTGCCAGAGGCTTTTTATGCGCGGTTTCCGGTTTCGGTCATTAAAAACTGTGACCCGCGCGAAAAGCCGAACACGTCTCGGCCTGTGGCCAACGAAACGAAGCTCCCCGTCGCACGCGAGAAAAAACCTCTGGTACCCAGGGTGGGTGATACTGCTCCTAAGGGGCCGACCGTTTAACTATTGAAGGAGGCGGGGGTAGGTGATTTCTGGTCATCTAGAATTTTTTCTAGCAATCTGGTGGGCAGGGTATTTTTTTCCCTTTTTTTTCCCATAAGCTTTCTATTACATTTGTGCTGCATGCAATTTTTTTCTTCTGAGAGGCGCTTGCAGGAATTTTTTTTTTTTCAAAATCACCCACCCCCCCACCCCCACCTCATGTCAAGAGTTAAATGGTCGGCCCCTAATACGCCTTTTATGAAAACGGGTAAATGTTACGTCATAGATAAGTGTTTGGCTTCTTATCACGCAAGAGACAAAGTTCATATCATACTGTGCACGAGATATCGCACGTTCGCCAGCGCGGGCTATAATATCTATAGTGAAAATAAGAAAAAAAAAAGGAACATGAATATTATTTACCAGAGAACGTTTTTTTTTTCTTTGATCTACTTTCACTTCATTATCTAGGCTACGCTCTCTTATTTTTCCCACTATTATTGTTATAAAAATGGGATTTTGCTATTCGGCAGTCTGCCACGTGAAAAACCATTGGTATTTACATAATTAGCCGATGCCCTGTTTTAAATTGCACTTTGTATATTCTGGAAGATTCACTTCGTCGATCGTGCGGTCACCTGGAACGGCCTTGCTGTAAAAAAATTACCGTTTTAGCTGAGGCCAAACGAAGTCGCAAATAGCGTTTTAATGCTTTAAAATTCCTTATGATGAAAGAGCAAGCAGATTATAAAACGTTCCATCGAGGAATTGGAGAACCGGGGTCTGCGGTGAACAAAATTGATAACGATTATGAAAACAACAACACAAAAGCGATGAAGAAGTGGATAAGGAACGATGCTGCAGATGACACGGAATTTTTCAGCGTCGATCAGGTGCCTCCACTCTTTCGAGAACCGTTCATACTTACTGCCTACAGAAAGTATAACACGACAGCCTGGTATTGTTTCAAGAGCCTCTTTCAAGCCACCAACGAAACTATAAACATTTGGAGCCATTTATTGGCACTTGTTGTTTTCTTACTACGTTTTGCGTCAATATTCGCCAAACACGACCCCTTCAAAGATTCACGGGTTTATCCACTGCTTTGCTTCGCGGTTGGGATCTCTGTTATGTTACTTATGAGCGCGGGCGCTCACTTGTTTAACTGCATGTCCATCAAGGCCCGTTATGTGTGCTTCTTCTTTGATTACTCCGCAATCAGCGTATACACTTTCACCGCTGGTCAAGTTTTCTACTTCTATTCCCGCCCCGTGGAAACAGACTGGGTGATTTTTAACACCCCTGCCATCTTTCTAGGAATTTCAGCGACCATCTCCTTCGCCTCTACCCTTGCATGTTGTTACTCGTTTGCCAAAAGGAACCGCTTTGATGCCTTTGTCAAGGCTGGTACTTACAGTAGTTCTTGGCTGTACAACACTTCGCCTTATTTAACAATGCTCCTGCTGTGTGAGCCGGCCTCAACGTGCAGCAGTGTTTCATCCATTCACTACTTTGCACGCCACTGTTTGTTCTACGCGGGAGGTGTTTTAGCTTATGTCACTCGCATCCCAGAGCGACTTATGATTGGCGCGTTCGACGTCCTGGGCCATAGCCATCATTTCCTTCACATTCTGTGCTGTATTGGGGTAGCAGACGAGTTCTCCGCCATGGAGCTTGATATGGTACAGAGAAGGCCATCACTGGAGAGTTTCCCTGGTCCGACATTTTCAAATACCATTTTGCTGACAACTGGGGTAATTCTTGGAAATATCATGGCAGTATTATGGTCCGTCATGAGATTTAAGCTGCACAAAGAATAACTTACGCATGTGAACAACATAATTCTAGTAAACGGACTCATTTGCACTATTTTCAATACCACAGTATACAAGCAAAAGGCTTATCTCACCTATGGCTTAATTTTTCGTAACCATAGCAACCGAACTTGTTAAAAAACCATGCCAGCAATTGAAAAAAGAAAAATTAAAAAATTAAAAAAAATTAGGGTTCTGCTTCAAAATCGTCGTTCAAACATCCTTTTTCGTGCTAGGGTTAGATCACACAGGTGTTATGATATATCCTTATAATGTATTTCATAATTGCCCGTCACGGATTGACTTATATGGTCAAGGAAAGCATGTATATATTTCAAAAGTGCACTGCCTTGTTATGTATATTTGTCTGAGGACATAATTTATACTACGCAGTTGTTACGGTAATATATTTATTCACATGGCGAAATAAACAGAATTAAGCGGTCAAACTACAAATACCTCAGAATTGTATGTAAAAAAGGATTATATATTTTGTAGCAACAAAACTTGTAATGTTACTAAGTGGGCAAGTTTACAAGAAAGTAAAACGAAACCAGTGAAACTGCAGTTAATTTAAGCTGTACCCAAATATGACAATAAAGTGGTAGTTGAATTTTCATTTATCTTTCGTCGTGGAAGTTTGTCAGTCTTTTGACCACATCGCTCATATGGACCTTCTCTAATAGAATTAAGATTTGTTTTCAAACCTGTGGCCGATCCCCGAGGGCAACTCCCATATGAAATTGCCGGGGATGTTTGTAATCTCTCGGTAGAAATTGTAGCCTGAGATATTAAACAGCCGACCGTTTAAAGACACCACCACTGGTTTCCCCGCGAAATGACGGTTGTTTACCCTTTACAAAAAGATTCCGGAAAATCTGGTTGGAAAGTAAACAAAACATGACTTTTTTCGTCGTTCCAGCGGAAAATTTCCAAGAGCAACGGTACATCTGAAAAGATAGTCCTGATTTTCCGGATTGAATATCCCAACAGAAATTCGTGTTCCATTTCTTCAAAGCCATGTTTGATACCAGTTTCAGGCCTTTTCGGCCGTTTTCCGGTAAATGGAACTGATTCGTACAAATGGTAAACACGATTCCGGAATGACATTCTCGGGGGTCAGTTACATTAGTGATAACCGGTACCCTTTCCTTTCGCGCATGCGAGGCCCATACGTATTTGGCTACCTTTTTTGTGTCCGTTCTCCTTGCTTCATACAAATCAACCTACACCTTATGTCTGTCTCCGGCTTGGTGGTCCGCATTTCAAGACTTATTTTACTGCCACAGGGATAGCAGTAGTGCAGATGGTATAGGGCTGGTCTGCAGTGCGGTAGGAACATGCGCGCTCCTGACCCCAATCTCCGTGAAAGGAACAATTGTCAGGGCCAAGGCCAAGGCCTTACTCAAAACCCGGACTCAAAAATGACTAATTGTGAACGCCACCTCGCACTCCTGTGTGTCCTACCTTATATCTCTATATGTCTCTTACAGGAAGAGAAAGCTATGATAGAAATATGTCTTTCTACCACTGCTGAAAAATAAAACGCCTGAGAATGAAGGGAACGAACTCGAAATTCGATACCCTAGTTCAGATCTCATTTCCGAGAAGCCGTTCCAGCAGCACGTTCACTGATCAGCACGTACACTGATACATGATCTCAGCTACTCAGGAATTCAGTTTGTGTGATTAAGAGGCGAAAAAACCCATCAGTTTGCACGACAAAAGGCGAGTCTTTTAAAAAGCACAGTCGTTAACACAGACCAAAAAACCCGTAAACCCTATCACCAGCAGGGGCCTCCGACAAGAAATAAGGTATTCCTCTGGAAAAATCTTAAAAGTTGCTCTGTTCAGCGGTAACTACCATTTACACAATGTTATCCATCGTCGACAGTCGTCGATGGACGCGATGAGAAAAAGTTTACATTCTTCGTCGTTTATTTAGTGCATTTTTTCGCTTCCTCTGTAGACAAATAGCGTTTTAATGCTTTAAAATTCCTTATGATGAAAGAGCAAGCAGATTATAAAACGTTCCATCGAGGAATTGGAGAACCGGGGTCTGCGGTGAACAAAATTGATAACGATTATGAAAACAACAACAGAAAAGTGATGAAGAAGTGGATAAAGAACGATGCTGCAGATGACACGGAATTTTTCAGCGTCGATCAGGTGCCTCCACTCTTTCGAGAACCGTTCATACTTACTGCCTACAGAAAGTGTAACACGACAGCCTGGTATTGTTTCAAGAGCCTCTTTCAAGCCACCAACGAAACTATAAACATTTGGAGCCATTTATTGGCACTTGTTGTGTTCTTACTACGTTTTGCGTCAATATTCGCAAAACACGACCCCTTCAAAGATTCACGGGTTTATCCACTACTGTGCTTCGCGGTTGGGATCTCTGTTATGTTGCTTATGAGCGCGGGCGCCCACTTGTTTAACTGCATGTCTATCAAGGCCCGTTATGTGTGCTTCTTCTTTGATTACTCCGCTATTAGCGTGTACACTTTCACCGCTGGTCAAGTTTTCTACTTCTATTCCCGCCCCGTGGAAGCAGACTGGGTGATTTTTAATACCCCTGCCATTTTTCTGGGAATTTCAGCCACCATCTCCTTCGCCTCTACCCTCGCATGTTGTTACTCGTTTGCCAAAAGGAACCGCTTTGATGCCTTTGTCAAGGCTGGTACTTACAGTAGTTCTTGGCTGTACAACACTTCGCCTTATTTATCAATGCTCCTGCTGTGTGAGCCGGCATCAACGTGCAGCAGTGTTTCATCCATTCACTACTTCGCCCGCCACTGTTTGTTCTACGCGGGAGGTGTTTTAGCTTATGTCACTCGCATCCCAGAGCGACTTATGATTGGCGCGTTCGACGTCTTGGGCCATAGCCATCATTTCCTTCATATTCTGTGCTGTATTGGGGTAGCAGACGAGTTCTCCGCCATGGAGCTTGATATGGTACAGAGAAGGCCATCACTGGAGAGTTTCCCTGGTCCGACATTTTCAAATACCATTTTGCTGACAACTGGGGTGATTCTTGGAAATATCATAGCAGTATTGTGGTCCGTCATGAGATTGAAGCTGCACAAAGAATAACTTACACATGTGAACAACATAATTCTAGTAAACGGACTCATTTGCACTATTTTCAATACCACAGTGTACAAGCAAAAGGCTTATCTCACCTATAGCTTAATTTTTCGTAACCATAGCAACCGAACTTGTTGAAAAACCATGCCAGCAATTGAAAAAAGAAAATTAAAAAATTAAAAAAATTAGGGTTCTGCTTCAAAATCGTCGTTCAAACATCCTTTTTCGTGCAAGGGTTAGATCACACAGGTATTATGATATATCCTTATAATGTATTTCATAATTGCCCGTCACGGTTGACTTATATGGTCAAGGAAAGCATGTATATATTTCAAAAGTGCACTGCCTTGATATGTATATTTGTCTGAGGACATAATTTATACTACGCAGTTGTTACGGTAATATATTTATTCACATGGCGAAATAAACTGAATTAAGCTGTCAAACTACAAATACCTCAGAGTTGTATGAAAAAAGGATTATATATTTTGTAGAAACAAAACTTGTAATGTTACTTAATGGGCAAGTTTACAAGAAAGTAAAACGGGACCAGTGAAACTGCAGTTTATTTAAGCTGTACCCAAATATGACAATAAAGTAGTAGTTGAATTTTCATTTATCTTTCGTCGTGGAAGTTTGTCAGTCTTTTGACCACATCGCTCATATGGACCTTCTCTAATAGAATTAAGATTTCTTTTCAAACCTGTGGCCGATCCCCGAGGGCAACTCCCATATGAAATTGCCGGGGATGTTTGTAATCTCTCGGTAGAAATTGTAGCATGAGATATTGAACAGCCGACCGTTTAAAGACACCACCACTGGTTTCCCCGCGAAATGACGGTTGTTTACCCTTTACAAAAAGATTCCGAAAAATCTGGTTGGAAAGTAAATGAAACATGACTTTTTTGGTCGTTTCCGGATTGAATATCCAAACAGAAATTCGTGTTCCAGTTTGATACCAGTTTCAGGCCTTCGCGGCCGTTTTCCGGTAAATGGAACTGATTCGTACAAATGGTAAACGCGATTCCGGAATGACAAGCCTGTGTACAGACGTCCCCCCTCCCTCAGGAAAAATCGGGAGAGGAGACGTCTGTGAATCGCCGACGATAATCGTGTTCCCGTTTCCCCGGAATGTTGGGGACAGCCTCTGATTGGTTGTAATGTTAATGCCATGACGCAAATAATTTCCGTTGTTGTGATTGGTGAATGAACCTCAGAACAGATTCCCCGGGGAAAAGCTCAGCCTTTGTGGACATTCATATTTGTTTACCGGTATTTGTATTTCAGCTCTCTCGAAAAGGCATGTTTGCTGCACCGGTTGCGGGTGCGTTTGTCTGTACCAGTCGGTATTGTAAATAAAAGAGAAGGCATACAAAATCCAACGTTAACAGCCAAAGCAGGTCAAGCTTACCCCAAAAAGATTCTATTAATGAATTGGGGGGACGTCTGTACACAGGCTACGGAATGACATTCTCGGGAGTCAGTTACATTAGTGATATCCTCATGTAGTCAGGTTTTCTCTAACCGGACGTATTTGGCTACCTTTTTTGTGTCCTTTCTCCTTGCTTCATACTAATCAACCTACGCCTTATGTCTGTCTCCGGCCTTGGTCGTCCGCATTTCAAGACTTATTTTACTGCCACAGGGATAGCAGTAGGGCTGGTCTGCAGTGCAGGAGGAACATGCGCGCTCCTGACCCCAATGTCCGTGAAAGGAACAATTGTCAGGGCCAAGGCCAAGGCCTTACTCAAAACCCGGACTCAAAAATGACTAACTGTGAATGCCACCTCGCACTCCTGTGTGTCCTACCTTATATCTCTATATGTCTCTTACAGGAAGAGAGAGCTATGATAGAAATATATCTTTCTACCACTGCTGAAAAATAAAACGCTCGAGAATGAAGGGAACGAACTCGAAATTCGATACCCTAGTTCAGATCTCATTTCCGAGAAGCCGTTCCAGCAGCACGTACACTGATCAGCACGTACACTGATACATGATCTCAGCTACCCAGGAATTCAGTTTGCGTGATTAAGAGGCGAAAAAACCCATCAGTTTGCACGACAAAAGGCGAGTCTTTTAAAAAGCACAGTCGTTAACACAGACCAAAAAAACCGTAAACCCTGTCACCAGCAGGGGCCACCGACAAGAAATAAGGTATTCCTCTGGAAAAATCTTATAAGTTGCTCTGTTCAGCGGTAACTACCATTTACACAATGTTATCCATCGTCGACAGTCGTCGATGGACGCGATGAGAAAAAGTTTACATTCTTCGTCGTTTATTTAGTGCATTTTTTCGCTTCCTCTGTAGCAAGATGATGGAAGAAGAAGATTCGTATGGATTTGAACAAACTCTGGTAGGATGAATTTAAGTTTCAAAATGTTTGTGCTCATTTTGCGGACAACTAAACATAAACAAATTTTCATGAGCGGTGTTCTCGTGCGAAACTTGGTTGTCGATTTACTTTGTGTATTTAAAATCTATTGATTCCAATTTTTCCCACATGAGAGAGAAAAGAATCGACCACTAACTTCCTATAATACGGTCGTTAAAGCACAGGTTTGGAACGAAATTAGCGCCTGATAAATCACTCCACTCGTGTGTTCGTTCAGCTGTTCTATAGTAATTCAGCTTTTCTTGTTGTCATCACGGTATTCCCAAACACTTAAAGTTATGTTTAACGAAATTAATTAGTGCGTACAAAATCTTTGTAAAGCTTATTCATGCTTTAAGATTTTGCAAATTTCGTTTTCGTATGTTTACCGGTAGCAAAACAACGTGTATTACGTCCGGTGTTTATGTACCGGATATTTGTGATGAGTATAACATGAGCTGTTTATTTGATGTGACGATTCCTTTTGCGGTCTGTGAAACACTGATCAAAGGATACGTGAGCCTAGATAAAACTTTTGGGGACTCTTTTCTCCCCTTGGGGATTAGTAAAGCAAGGGAACAGGGCTTAGAGCACTGGCTGTCACACATGTTGCAAATTTGATCGGGGAGGTTTTTCTCGATCCGGATGTTCCGGATTGCTCCTCTCTTAGAAACCATCACTTAACCATCCAAATTCCAATTGATCTGGAATGTACAAAAACATATAAGCAAGCCAACGTTTGTTGATTAACAAATGACGCAGTTGTTGGTATCCAACAAGTTGCAATAGCTGTGGCCATGTGACTGAGAGACGAGATCCTGGTGTCCATTCTGTTCTTATGTTCTCGCTGAAGCTTGTCGCATTCGTAAGTGGCTAATCCATTACTCTGTTTGTACAGCATACGGAGATGTGTGTCAGATCGCCTGAGCTCCAGAGATTTCCATTTAAGAGAAGATAACATATCAGTAACACTGTCTAATCTGTCCTAGGGCCCGAGTACCCAGCGAGCTGCTCGGTTTTGAATCATTTTGACCTGCTGTATGTTCGTAGCTACGTAAGGGTCCCAGACAGTGGCACTGTATTCAACAATCAGTCTCACAAGGGCTTTTGCAAGCTTGTTCTTTGGATTTGGCCGAACAAGTGCGGAGATTGTGGTGTAGAAAGTTCAAAGTCTTGTTTGCTTTGGTGGTAATTTAATTTACATGATCTTTCCAGTGTAAAGCATGTGAGAGGATGATCGCTAAATATTTAGTAGTATCAACAGTTTCTAGGACCCTGCCATGAAGTTTGTACTGAAATTTGAAAGGTGTACGTCTGCATGTTACCTGTATAATGTTGCACTTGCTTGGATTAAATTCCATATGCGAGTCGGATTCCCATTTTTCCAAGCTGTGAAGGTCATCTTGTAATTGCGAGCAATTGCTCTCAGTTTTTATTGTAAGGTAAATGACAGTGTCATCGGCAAAAAGATGGACCCTTGACTCAACACAGCATGGGAGATCGTTCATAAAGATAAGAAATATTAACGGCCTCAGCACTGATCCTTGGGGTACACCTGATGTTACCGGAACTGAATGCGAATGCTCTCCTTCTAGAACTACACTTTGTCTTCTTTTCTCAAGAAAACTTTTCAACCACTGCAATGAAATGTCATCAAAGCCACACTTAAACAATTTGTATAGCAAGCCGTTGTGTGGAACCTTGTCAAATGCCTTGCTAAAGGTATTCATGTTAGCCATGAATGGCTATGGTCCACAGGGGAACAACCTTGTTTTGGGGAACTGATTTTCCCAAAGTGAAGTTGCCTGGTGAAATCTTCCATGGATACATCATCAAAAGGAAGGGGGAAAACAAAAGAGAGGAGAATTTTCCAAAGTGTTTCAAGGTTTTTGTCTGAGATTGTAGCTTAGACTGTAGTGAGTATAAATATCTAGAGGGAATAATGTTGGTTTTGGGAGGAATTTGAAGATAATGAAGATTAAAGAATTAAAAATTCACTTTTGATTATGATATGTTTTAGATGTATGGCCGTTTTACGACCACACAGCTTCAAAAATATGCCCAGGAACAGGGTGCAAGATTGCGGAGAGAGCAACAACAGAAGGAACAACAACAAGCTGAGGATGAGTTTAGAAATTATGATGATTCTTGCCTTTCAAATTTTAAAAGTGAGTATATTAAATTTGTGCTATATATATATCTACGCAGAAAGTGAAGTAAGACTAATCTTCAGTCTTATTTCATCAGCCTTCCTTTATGACAGAGAGGGGTTAGTTACTCTTAAGAAAAATTTGGGTGATAAGCAGGGATGGTGTCAAGGCTGTGCTCGAAGAAAAATTGTAGGGAGCCCCTTGGCCTGAACCTGAAAAATCCAGGGTGCATGCTCAGCATATGATTTCTATGCAAAAATGGAGATTTCCTAGTCTCCCATGAGGAAAAGTTAGCTACCACAGGCCACCAGGTGCTACTAGAGTACAGTCCTGGGTGAACTTAGTTGGTTGTCCAGCCATCACACTATTGCTCACCGATTTAAGTAATTTTTTTTCAAACACAATATGCACAATATTTTTGTTCCGATATCCAGACACCAACCACTGTCAGGGTTTTGCATGTGTAGTGATTTCTCTTGTTCTCTCTTGGAATATTAGTGAGTTAAAGAACTACAATCTTGGACTGAATAAAATGGAACAGTAAATCCCCCATCCCCCTACCCCCAAATCAAAGATGTAGCCATGCAAAGCCAAAACACACCATTTTCCCACCCTTGATTTGGGGGCATGGGGGACCACACTGGCTTTATTTTTTTCCAAAATGGGGCCCATCAGCCAGGGGCCTTCATGGTGATAATATTTTAGTTTGATGAAGTGAAGGCATTCAGTTAAGTTATGTTGTGGTAGCATTTGATGGGTCAATGTTGCCTGAGCATGCTCAAATTTTTTTTACGACTGAAATCAGCTGTACCGTTTGCTTCTCCAGCAAAAATTAAGCAAGTATTCCTTATACTCAGTAATATTTTTATTAGGTACCTAAATGTATTTTTGTATTATTTTCCTAGTAATGCTTGTTTGCCCTTAAATTCATTGTTTTAGGGTGTATAGAATGGCTACGTCCGTGCTGGAGTCGACTGGGTAGCGACTGGGTTTTTCTTTTAATTCTTGGGATAATCATGGCACTGATTAGTTTTGTATTAGACTTGGCAATTGAAAAATGTCAAACAGGTGAGTAAAAATACTATCATGTAAAACACAGCTCAGAGATATTGTAGTTCAGAAATTTGTGCCCAGTGCATTTTGCTCATCACAACTCTATTATTCCATGGACTGCAATTGATAGTATAGACTAGGTTAAATTGGAGTTGATTGGTAGAAGCAGAGCTCTATAAAAACGTAAAGGTATTTGTTCACAGTCTTGAATGTTGTAATAATCAAGGCTGTGCTCTAAGGAAAATTGAGGGGAGCCCAATGCTCTGAAATTGTACAATCCAGAGTGCCCAGCATATGATTTGTAGGAAAAAACTGGGATTTTCTAGTCGCCCGAGGTCAAAAGTTAGGCACCAGGGGCCACCTGGCTCTGCTAGAGCACAGCCCTGAATAATTATTGTAAAATAAAAGAAAAAGAAAAAATAATACTGTTGTTTAATCTACAACCTTAAATTAATAAATTATTTTAACACCAAGAAACAAAATAGTACCATGTGGAAGTACATGTAATAAAGGTGGGCCAGAGGTTTCATTTCATGGGTTACATCGTAGGAATTCAAAACAATTAAAAAGTTAGAGCTACATAACATACATGTAACTTAAAAATTGACTTTGGGAGTGACAGTGTTGAATTGGAGCAACATGACTTTTAGCCCAGTCAAGTACTAGCTACATGTAGGATGATGAAAAAATGTAGTNGAAAAAATAATACTGTTGTTTAATCTACAACCTTAAATTAATAAATTATTTTAACACCAAGAAACAAAATAGTACCATGTGGAAGTACATGTAATAAAGGTGGGCCAGAGGTTTCATTTCATGGGTTACATTATAGGAATTCAAAACAATTAAAAAGTTAGAGCTACATAACATACATGTAACTTAAAAATTGACTTTGGGAGTGACAGTGTTGAATTGGAGCAACATGATTTTTAGCCCAGTCAAGTATTAGCCACATGTAGGATGATGAAAAAATGTAGTTAATCAGTTGGCCTATTATTTAACTTTCAGCGCACATTTGGCTTTACAATGTATCAAGCAACACTTTTGTACAGTATATTGTGTGGACTTGCTTTCCGCTGACTCTTATCACCCTCTCTGTTGGCTTCACGTATCTAGTTTCACCTCATGCTATTGGTACGTTTTTCGTAATACAATGTATAAATTTATACTACAGTCGACTATTAAGGTGGCTCACACTGACTTCAAAGATTTTTAGGTGTGACCTCAACATTCATGGATCAATACATTGTTATAGTAGAAATTAAATACCACCTTTTTATATTAAACCAACAAAGATGGTATTAAAGATACCATAGTTACCATAAGTTACCTTAGCAACATTACAACCCCTTAAAAATACTCAGTTGAACTCGGAAAATGTGAGTCACTGAACCCCCATTTTTCAGCTTATCAAAATGTATTTTTCTTTATATAATGGTTAAAATTTTTGTCAAGCCAAAAAGAAATATTAGAAATTTACTATTTTTGATTCAAAGTCTTTTTCTTTTGTTTCAGGGTCAGGCATACCTGAGATGAAAGTCATTTTAAGGGGAACGGTGCTAAAACGCTATTTGTCATTAAGAACATTGATTGCTAAAGTGGTAAGTTTAATAGGCTACAATGCTTTTAGATTTTTGAGATCTGTTTATAGAAAAAATATCAAATCTGTACTTGAGCAAACCCAACATTGATATGATTGCACTCCTTTTAACTATGTCGGAGATGAATGAATGTATGATTTACATGTAAATTCTGCAATATGTTGTTGGTTCTCTTCTTTGCTCCGAGAGGTTTTTCTCCGGGAGAGGTTTTTCTCCAGGTACTCCGATTTTCCCCTCTCCTGAAAAACCAACATTTCCAAATCCCCATTCGACAAGGAATCAGGTAGACAAAGAACCACTTTGTGGATGTGCTACCACCTCAAAATCATTATTTATTTTATTTATTTATTTATATAATAATGCTGAGTTAGAAGATGCCTGCATTGGGCAAACGACAGTTACATGAGTAAAATCAATATGTACTGCTCTTGTTTGCAGGAGTCACAGTAGGGGAAGTCTTGTGAATACTTAGTTGCTTATAAATAATAATGTTTCATCCACTGAGTAGAATGCTTATTTAATTAAACCTTAACTAATTGAAGCAATAAAATGTGCAGACAAGCACCATATTTGAATTGTTTGTACACAGATTGGTCTTCTAACTGCATTAGGAAGCAGTATTCCAATTGGAAAAGAGGTGAGTTTTGTGATTCTGTAGCTGCTTGCTACACTGTACATATTACGTGACTGTTATGTTGATGCTCAGTTTTGTCCTTGGTTTAATTTAATATGTTATATTTTTTTTGGTTATGGATATGGATGATAATGAGATTGAAACAAAGGAAATAAAAAGTTAAACCAAGGATTACATTAAATTAAAGCAAAACATATATTTTTTGGTACAACTCTACTTCCTTTTGTCTTTTTTTTTGTTTATTTATATGCATAATTAATAGCATTTTTTAATAAATAATTTTATTAAGTTTGACTGTAACTACTTCCCACAGGGACCTTTTGTTCATATTGCAAGCATGGTAGCTCGATCCATGGGAAAGTTCGTGGCATCATTTAAAGGAATTTACACAGTAAGATGAAATGTTTCTTTTTATTTGTCGCACTTTGTTTTTAACAAAAGCTTAAAGCTTTTTCTGTCAACATTGGTGTACTGATTGCTCGACAGGAAGTTAAGTCCACAATGTTTTCTTCAAGGAATTCCAAGAAAATTAACAGTTCAAAACTTAAGGTGTTTAAGAATATCACAACAACTCTTAATGAACATTCACAAGTACTAGCTCTATTACTAATCTGTTATTTTGTATGATCATGAAATTTGTAGAATGAGTCCAGAAATACAGAAATGTTAGCAGCGGCTTGTGCAGTAGGCGTATCAAGTTGTTTTGGATCTCCCATTGGAGGTATGTATATGTTACAGGTCAAAATTAAATTCAGGGTAAAACTTTTTTACCTAGGTTGATTCTCAATTTCCTTTGTTTCCTGGCCCTGATTACTCATGAATTAGGGCTATGAGACAAAGGAAATTGGGAATCGACCTAGGTTAAAAAAAAATTTACCTGAATTTAATTTTGACCTGCAACATATGGATGAGCAACATCGATGATCATACATTGATGATCATGTAGGGGCAATAAGGTGGCGTAGTGAAAATTAAAGATGGCAACACAGTAATGAAGTGAAAAACTGATATTTAAACATACAAAAAAACGTGAAAAAAAAAGTTTGGACACGTTCTATCTTATCGGTAACAGTTCCCGTGAACGTTTTCCAAACTGCAATATTTACAGTTAATATCATTCTCACTGTAGTATTAATTGGTGCACCTTGTATTGTGGTCCCCACTGAAATGTTAACAGTGCAGTTTTGTAAAAATGGCAGTTATTTGCATTTTGCAAGAATCAAATTTTCTGTAGGTACTTTTTTAAAAAATCTTTGCTTTGTTGTGGCTGTTTTACCAGTAAAACCATTTTGGAAGAAACAATAAACAAACAAATATGATTATTGAACATGTAGGCCATTAGGGTAATTATTCAATATCATAATCCCACAACTTATCACTAATTTTGTTATCCTATAGGGGTGTTGTTCAGTATTGAGGTAACTGCAACATATTTTGCGGTGCGGAATTACTGGCGAGGATTCTTTGCTGCTGTCTGTGGAGCACTCATGTTTCGTCTTCTAGCCGTGTTTGATAAAGAAGAAGGTGCTTTTATTAATAACCACTGAGTTTAAAATTTGTTTTGAAGTTCCTTCTATTTTATTCATTTTTCCCTCCTCAACCTAATGTGTTTTTAAGATTACACTAGAGCTTTAGTTGAAGCACTGATAAAGCGGACAATATTATTGTCAAGTCTGCAAGTCTATTATGTCCTGAAACAAGAGTAGAAAAATTCAGTTAAAAACCCTTCATTAAGCATATTGAAGTGCATAATCAATTTGAACACCTCAACTGTCCACCACTGAGTTCAGCAGTGCATCCCCAACTCAAAAACACACATTTAGTCATTAACTGTTTGCTTGTTGGGTGCAATTCCAAATGCAAGGCCCATACCATCAGCAACTTTTGTTACAGTTACTGTAGAAAATGGTTATAATAGGTAACTGTCAAATTACTTAATGTCTAAACAAATTGTGTTCTTTTCGCAGAAACGGTTACTGCTCTTTTCAAGACAAATTTTAGATTAGACTTTCCCTTTGATGTGGAAGAGTTTTTGGCTTTTGCATTAATCGGGTAAGTAAGTCTAATACCGTAAAATTCCGAAAATAAGCCCCTGGGCTTATATTTTTCAAAGGCCCTTTTTGATGGGCTTATTTTTGGAGGGGCTTATATTCGGAGGGGCTTATCTACGGAGGGAAATTTGCGTTTCAAAATCGATTGAGCTAGCCTTATAGTTGGAAGTAAATTTACTATTTTTGCTTTGTTTTACTTTATATTTGAGGGCAATTTTCCAAGTACAAGCCCCCGGGGGGCTTATATTTGGAGGGGTGATTTAACGGAGGGTTTTTTGTGTTACCGGACTGGGGGCCTATATCTGGAGGGGCTTATACATGGAGGGGCTTATTTTGGGAATTTACAGTATCTCCACTGTTCCATTGCAAACACTATCCTGTACCCTCTGTAAGCCCTGCTCCCTCTCTTTGGTCCTCTGAAATACACCATTTCAATATCATTCTTCTCACAATTTTCTCAGAATTCTATAAACCTTTATGTTGTAGGTATGGATTATTTGTGGAAATAAAATTTGCTTATTAGTAATTTCTTACTCTCAGAAGCAAACAATGCAAGGTCAAAATAATATTATGCTATGTCAGTTGTTAGTATACTCACATCTTTATCTAAGTAACTTGTGTCTAGTCTTATGTGGTAATCATTTTATGTATGAATTTAAATTATTTTGACATATTTCTTTGTTTTTAGATTGTTTTGTGGTTTTGGAGGAGCTTTGTTTGTGTTTACACATAGAAAACTTGTTGATATGCAGAGAACACACAAACACACCAAGCTGGCAAAGTTTCTCACAAAGAAGTAAGTTACAGACATGGCAACCTCAGCTGGAGAACTGAATTCTGGAGACTTTATCTTGCACTGTCCTGCCCTCCCTTCCCATCCTCAGCCCACCCCACCCCCAGTAGCAACACAGAAATAGTTAATGACAGTGTTGAAAGGACCCACAATTATTCTGCCAGAAACTGCTACAATTATTATTTTAACTTGCGATTAATGCTGAAGTTTGGGGCAAAAGTACAGAAAAGTTCAAAAGCCTCTTATTTGGGAAATATTAAAATAATTATGACTCTTGTGGGAGAGTGAGATTTTTACCATCTATTTCAGAGACGTCTGGATAATCCAGGGGTCAGTTGTGTAAAACCCATTGTTGGACGCAACCTATGATGTCTGGCAGGGTGCAAAGAAAGTCAGTTTTACAGCTTGCCATTCAGGCAAGCTGTAGTTAGCGTGTACTAGCCCAAAAGTTATTTTAACTGACCCAATGGTGAGGGTTGATAACAGTTCTTTTGTGATTAGAATTCATTAAAAAATTTCATTTGCCAGGCAGGCAAGTTGAGAACATAATTCACTAGCCCAATAGTAAAATCCATTAGCCCCAGGCTATCAGACACCACTTTCTTTGCAGGCTGTCTTGCATTGAATTAAGGAGTTTGAATGGGCTGAACAATTCAAATATGCAATTTTAGTCCCAGGAGAGTCCACCAAAAAGTTATACATGTGTTTGCCTTCCTTGATTAGCCCTAACAGTCTCAACGGTCTTTCTTTTTTTCCATTATATTCTATAATAATTGGTGACAATAACGGTATATTTGGTATCATAACTAGGTGTTTTGTTTCTTTTTATGACAGCCGTTTTGTGTATCCAGCTGTGGTGATTTTCATTATTGCTACTGTAACGTTTCCAAAGGGACTTGGGCAATTCATGGCAGGAGAGGTGGGTCTTCATTCCATGGTTATCACTAATATTAACTAAACAAAGTGTTGTATGTAGGAAGAAGGATTACCAGAGTTGGTTAGTGCATGGCCTTCTGTGCTGGAGGTCCCAATTGCGACTCCCAGATGTGATCTCCAATCCTTCTTTTGACTTCTTTCCTTTCTATGTAGCCTTAACCCTTTAAGTCCCAATAGTGATCAAGATCAATTTTCTCCTAACAATATCCATACATTGTTAACAGATAAGTTATGAGAATTAATAAAATGATCACCAGAGTAAAAGTGGCTTAATCTTTTATCAAATTTTCTCAACTCATTCTTTAAGGAAATGTATGGAGATCAATTTGGAGAATTTGTATGTGGATACTGGGGTTTGAAGGGTTAAGTAGCTGCAAATATCCATAAAATAGAGCACTGATGGACAGTAGGTAGCTCACAATCGGCCTCAGGTTTGTTAGTGAGATGACTATTTCAAGCTGCTGATGTAAAATAAGGACTCCCCACTGTACCTTTTTTAAAATGACAACATCCGCTTGTCTTACTATTGATTTTTATACTAAATAGTGTAAAATGTCTTTCGTCATCAGTTAACGTCACAGCAAGCAATAGATGAGCTGTTTATGAACATCACCTGGTCTGAAGCACAAAACTCTGAAGATCAAGCAAGTTTAAATGTTCTAGAACACTGGGATGGAGCCAATACTAATATCTATGTCACCTTGGTTATATTTATTGTCCTCAAGGTACTTGATGGAAACATTTATGGTCCCAGTTGTTCAACAATGGATAGCGCTGTTGGTCCGCTGGATAAATTACTATCCAGTGGATAAGTATTTACTTGATAGAGATAAATCCAGTGGATTGAACAACTGGGGCCATTCTTGGTTTTTGTAGTCTAATTTCTAGGCTTTTAGATAATATGTGATCTTTAAAGTAAAAAATTTATCCAACATTATTTTATGTTCTTGTCTTCCATCAATCATAATATTTTGAGAAACAAAACAAATGGATAAAATTCTCCAAAGGTTTTTTGCTCTCTGTAAATCCTCTAAGCAAGCCTCCAGGAAAACAAAGGTTTTCTTCAGTGTTTTCAAAAGGTCCATAGCTTTAAATTACTTTTAGATTTAGATTTATTTTGTTTGTTTCATTTCTTTGCAATATTTATGCAATATTTATTTGTGATTAACAGAGATTTTTTTGTATTGACAATTACAACCAACTTCAAAAATGAAATTTCCAACGTACAATAACTTTTCACGTCATCAAACCCAATGCAACACTAAGACATCACTACGACAGACATTGTATAGTGGTTAAAAAACAAACAGTTTATAATGACCGCAGTATCTGTTGCTTTACCCATTCCTGCTGGTGTCTTCTTCCCCGTCTTTTTAATTGGTAAGGAATTATTTTTCATGATTTATTATTTTAATAGGTTTTACCCGTGCAGGAATGCAGAGATGAATCTGAGATCTACAACTACCAACAGATTCAACTCTCAAATAACAAACTAATGGAATCTTACGGGTAGGCTTGGCCTGGCTTGACTGTGAATGCAAGCATCAATCATTTGAGTTATTGCTGTTTTTGTAGGAGCAGCATTTGGTCGTCTTGTGGGGGAAGCCATGGCAACGTGGTTTCCTGATGGTGTTAACTCTGGAGATGCTATCACACCCATTGTTCCTGGGGGATACGCTGTTGTTGGTAAGGACATATGATAGAACTAAGTTTTCTGATGTAGCTGTACTGTTTCTTTCAAGCCTACTCCGCAAGTTTAAAGAATTAATATTTTTGTTGGAAATACAGTCAAACCTCCTATAAGCGATCACCCAAAATGGGAAGAATTAATGGTTGCTTATGGAAGGTGATTGCTTATGAGGATCAAACCAAAGGGGGTGTCTTCCAAGTAGAGGTTTGGACTCATCTACTCTAGCGAAGATGATTTAATGCATGCAATTTCTAAGTTACAATGCATGTATGTGTAGTTCTATGTTGTCACTAAGAGTTCTTTGCATATACCTTGGGTGCATTCCTTTGGGATGACCCATCTCATGATCAGTGATCTGAGATCACTCAGATCACATGCATCAAAGAAAGTGATGAATTCTCTCAGGGCAACTATTTATTTATTGGTTCCTTTGATGCACCATGATCTAAATATCCTGGATCCCCGAGGATTCCAGAGGCCCTGCTAGGGGAGGGGGTCGCATGTTGCCCATCTGAATTTGAAAACGTCTCGTGTGGGTGTTTATAAATGCTTGTTGCTTATTGCCGACGTTGCCGTCACTGTCGCAATTTGGCCGAGGGAGGTTGTCTGTTGTCGCTATTTCATTTAACGCGCTGTCGCTACTTTTTGGGCCATGTCGCTTGTCGGAATTTACCCTGGCAAGGCCTCATTCCACCCCTAAACTTTTAGTCATTTCTTTCAATTTCCAGGAAAGCAGCTGATCATAGTTATATGTGCCTACTGTTTTTGTTTTGTGGTACACAGGAGCTGCGGCCATGTCAGCAGCTGTTACACACACCATTTCTACATCTGTTATTGTGTTTGAGCTCACTGGACAAATCACTCACATTCTACCTGTTATGGTATGTTCTATGCAATCCTTAACATGTACAGTGCTTGGGTGACTAGTCAGAATAAAGGTGCAAGTATCTTTTCACTTCTGATAAAATACTAGATTTATCATCTTCCAGTGTGTCTGGTACATGCTTGTCAATCATGGAGAGAATTTGATAGTAGATCAGGAGACACATGGCATGGGCCTTATTCCATCCATCCCTTCACAGTTTAAATTAATATCATAATCTTCTATTTTGTTCATTTGGATTGGAACTGTGCATTATATTATGGCCAGTCTCACAACTGCATCCTCAGCTGTATTGAAGAATGCAAAATGATTGCATGCTTGAATTAATCTGATTAATGTCTTTTTCTGTTGTAGATTGCTGTTTTGATTGCAAATGCCATTGCACAGTGGCTGCAGCCATCATTTTACGATAGCATTATTCAAATCAAGAGGCTGCCATATCTTCCTGATGTTACAAAAACTCAGTAAGCAACAAACACAGAGTTTCTTTGGACTCCACTCATATCTGCTGTGCTCTAAGGAAAACTGAAGGGAGCCCAGTGCTCTGAAGTTGTCCAGCATAGGATTTGTATGGAAAGACTAAGACTCTTGTTGCCCAAGAGCAAAGGTTGAGTGCAAGGGGCTACCAGGCTCTGCTATCCCTGACATCATTGAAAACACCTTTGAATGATGTAGCTGAAACCTTTAAACTTTTGGACAAAATCCTGTGCTATGACCATAAATGAATTCACTTTATTAGTACCTGTACTTTTCAATGGTTTCTCCCTATTCTAGAAAATGAGAAATATATTTTTTTTGTTACCTCTTGGGAGAAAAAAATTTCTGATTGGTTTGTTGTATGACTTTCAGGGTTTATAATTTACTTGTTGCTGATATAATGAAGACCAAACTTTTCTACATCTCATACACCTCCAAGTATGCTGACCTTAAAGCACTCCTGGAACATTCAGATCTACGTTCATATCCACTGGTAGATTCTGAAGGTAACTAAGTAAATATGCCAGTTTCTTTTTATGTGGAAACTTGTTGAAAAACTCTTATTTGGGCACATACTCTCTTTCCCAATGCACCCCAATTCTCCCCCGCCCCCCACAACCCAAAGGGTATTCTATGAATTTTTGGGTGGGAATATGCCACTGGGACCCCAGAGCCCTAAATTTTGCTACTAGGGAACTCCCCTCTTTTTTTTTGAGTGGGAATGCATGCTTTCCTTAGTCTAGAATAAAATTGTCAACAAACTGATCAGTTTCCTGGAAATTGATACCTTTATTCTAGACTTAAACTATTTGATTTGTGTACCCCATCCCATACTTAACTGCTTGAAAACCATACCCTTCACAGCATTATTTCCTTAAATATGTACTATATAGCCTATATATGGTAGTACCTAGTGGGTATCCAGACCTTCAGATAAGGTGGGGGCCGGTCATCCAGACCCTGAGATAAGGGTCCCGGTCTCCAAAAAAAAAAATTTTTTTGGCCCTTCGGGCCTCATTTTGGTCAAAAAATAAGGAGGGGGGGGCCACCCCCCCCCCCGGGCCCTTCCCTGGATCCGCCACTGGTATCACTCCCCCCAGGAGACTCTTTTATTGCTCATCAATCCATTTTGAACAAAGGGCTGATACTGCACCTCTCCACTAAGATGATTACAAGTGTACCATGAATTTGCTCAAAATAAACTTACTGTAAGTCATTATTATGTGAGAAGGGAAACAGCCTTAGAGGCGTCTGTGGGGAGAATAAAGTAACAGCTATGTGTAGAGTAGGAAGTGGTGTTGTTTTACATGCTAATAATAATAATGTTGTTGTTGAAATTTTTAGATTCCATGATTCTCCTTGGCTCTATTCAACGACCTCAACTTCAGTCACTGCTCAATCAACACATGCAAAAAGCATTTCAAACCAGCAGCCAGGCAGAGAGTGAGAGTGCTGTGTGCTCTCGTCCAGAGACACCGGACTCACTTCCTGAGTAAGTAAACCTATCTGCGGAGACTCAGGTGCAGTCAGTCTTGGGTGTTAAAGACAATGGAAGATATCAGCACAAAAACCAGGCTTTGCTTTATAAATCCCAACTTGGACATACAAAACTTTTGCCAGAGGGTTTACAGCAAGAATCAGTGAAGAAACCAAGCTTCAATAATTTTTTAAATCCTAACATGGGCTTATAAATTGAAATTTGTGCTACAGGGTACAGTACAAACATCAGAGCAAACAACAAGGCTTTGCTTAAACCCCAGCTTGGACGCACAATAAGAATATGTACGAGAAGGTTCACATTTAGGGTCCCATGCCTGTGAAAACATGGCAAACTCTTGGAGATGTAATACCTGTGGCAAAGGCTTTCATACGCATGGAACCCAAATTTAACCCTTTAAACCCTAAGATCAAAATTTGAATTCTCATTTGTTGCCCCTATACGTTTGCTATAAAGGTTGTAGTGAGAAGTTGTTAAAGTATCAACTCATTGATCTCGTGTGATCATGTCCTTAAATCTCATCACCAATCTGTTTTATAAAGCATTGATATCACAAGGAGAATTTTGATACGGATCACTCTTTGGGCTTAAAGGGTTAAAGCGGCCATGCAAACACAAGCAATCTAATCTAGTGGTTTCCTGTGACACTGCTAGACTGTTCAGTAGTCTTTGTCCTTTTGCGCTTGACTGTTGATTTATTGGTACTGATTACTGAAGATACATTTTGAAAACTTAAGAGGTTGAGCTTCAAATGACTTTGCATGGATTGAAGTGGACACTCTTTTACTGGTCAGTGTAAAACCCGGCCTGCAGATTATCGTTTTCACCATGCGAATGAGTTCGTGACAACAATAGTGCCATTGTTTTCTAACCCTATAAACAATTAATAGTCTGCAGCCAGTCTGCAGTCTGCATTTTACACTGCCCGCCTTTTAATGCTAATCTTCAGAAACTTATCTTTACATCATTTGAAGGTATAGTGTGACATATTTTGAGTGACATACGTTTCTTTCAGGGACCACAGCAGTGATGGCCATGTCTCTCCTACAACGGTCGAAGTGTCAGCTCAAGTATCACAAAAAGTATGTTTTGTTACAAAACAATAACTGCCGGACAGATCAGATCATCCATTTGTTTACTTGTTTGTTCATTGAATCACAAAATAAAACAGTCACTTGTGGAATCCAACAATTAATTTTATAATTTTTATATTTATTTTTTACTTTGATAGTCAAGGTCTTGGAGAATAAGTATTTTAATAACTAGTTTACAATTGGCAAGTTTACAAGTAATTTAGTTAGTTTTTAATGTTTCAAAGAAATATTCTTTAACACTAGGGGAGGAAATTCTTGAAAGTTGCACAAAACTTCCAGAACCCATTTGAATCTCTTCATCAGTGATGTTTGCTGTTATTCGCAGCAAACCTCCGAAAATGTCATTGATGAAGGGGTTCAGATGAGTTCTGAAAGCTTTGCGTAACTTTCAAGAATATGTTGGTGTAGAAGAATAATTATTTTTCTGCAATTATAATGTCCCAACACTCACTGTGGAATCTCAATTCGGTCACTTTTTAATGTTTTTGTTTTACTCTGCAGGTCACAAGCCCAAGACCTTCCACTGGAAAGTCTCTGTTAGACAAAATAACAGGTAGCCTTAAATGCTTGTGTTCTTTGTTCAAACCTTGCAAACTGCAAAATTGAAATTCCCCGAGCAATGCTTGATACCGTCAGAAATTCATTTTCTTTTTGATGACTTGTAGTTTTTTTTGTTCATTTTTTAGTTCCTGCCAGACTTCATAAGCTGTTTGGTAGTGGGTCAGCTCTTAATGATGCTGAGGTTGGTTTGTTCTTCCTTTTCTGTTTTGAATTATTTGTGACACTTTGTTCCAAATAAAAGTTGCTCTAGGTTGCTATCTTGTGCTAAATTACACCAGCTATCATAATGGTTACCAACGAGAATGCCATTTGTATATTTTACTAATTCAAGTACAAAGCAAAGTTATCACTTCCAGCATTTTGGACTATGCTGTTACAATATTAATTTTTTATCTTTTATCTATTTCTAAAATGAGCCAAAAGAATCATAACTCAGGGTTGTCATTAAGAGGTGGGGGCTGGGGATTTCCCCTGGCTACTAAGAATGTGGCCCCCGGCTACTTTCATAGGAAAATAGACGAAAAATAGAACCAAAAGAAATCCCTAGCTGTTTGATTCCCTGCCTACTTGTTGTATTTACCCGGCAACTTGAAATCTTAGTGACAGCCCTGCATAACATAATTCAGTCTGAGTACAAATCATGCAGATCAACTCTTATACTTCTCTTGTGTTTTCAAACTTTCTGGTCATTCTTCACAGCTCAGTTACCATAACTACTCGTTAAATGAAAGAATTTTGTTTTCTTTCTTGTAGAGAATAGCTGAAGCAAGTGATAAAGATGGTCCTAATGGAGAACAGGTAAGCTCATTATCACCTTGTTCTTCTGAAACTGATCTATTATTCATAACAAGGAAGTAAATATGGACTGTTAGCAAATGCTGATGGTTTGTTTTGAGCGCACAATCCATCAACTGCTCTTAATGGTCTGTAACAGTGCATCAGTGTTGGACTTGACTGAGAATTCTTGACAATTTGAAAAGCTATAGCTGGCATTTGATTCTTAATGTTTCAGACGTTGACATAAAAATGTCATCAGCTGTGTTGTGTTTCCTCAACCCACTCCTTTCCATCTGTATATCAGAAGAAACACCCAAAACTGTCAAACATCTAACCCTTTAAACCCTAAGATCAAAATTTGAATTCTCATTTGTTGCCCTTATTCATTTCCTACAGAAGTAGTGGGGAGAAATTGATAAAATATCAAGCAAATTCATCTTGTGTGATCATGTCCGTAGTTCTCATGTCCACTCTGTTTTACAAGCATTGATATTACAAGGAGAAATTTGATGCTGATCACTCTTAGGGCTTAAAGGGTTAATAAGCTCCAATAAAAGACTACATATCCAGAAAGATGTTGTTGTTAAATTTCTGGGTGTCAACGACAATGGTTTATCATTGCCGTGATGACCATTCAATAGTCTACCAGCGTTCTTTGTTTTTATCACAGCAAATTCAATGGGAAAGAGAACTCCTACAGAGGACAATAGACTACAGTAATTGTCAAATAGATCCAGCTCCATTCCAGCTGGTGGAGAGAACATCTCTTCTTAAGGTATATCCTTTTTATACCATTATTTTCAACACCTTAGCATATGGACAAATAACAGTAGATTATGTTGTAATAGTATATCATATAATAATATAGCCCCTAACCCATTATAGTGTATTGTGTAGCCAATTATAGACCCCATGTTAGTTACTTTTGAGGCAATAATATTGTAATTTACTCCTAAGCCACTTTCTCTTTATGCACTTACCCTATAAAGCCCAGTTGGTCAGGCATCCTAAAATGAGTTCACACATTTTTTTTTTCAAATTTCTAGACACAAAAAATTTTCTCAACCCCCAAATCCCAAAAATGTGTAACCCCATTCTAGTAACTCTTATGAAAATGTAACCCCGTTTCAGTCGTGCAATCCAGTCGTGAATATGCAATCCCATCCAGCGGCACATTAGCCTCTAACTAGGAGTAAACCCCTCCCCCCGGGATGGGAAGACACTTTGTACTGGTATTGTATTTTGGGGATGTTTTAACCTGAGTTACCAGTCAGATCGCTTCTTACTAGAGATTTCTGCTAATATCAGCTGCCCATTAGAAGTTTCGTCATTTTAGGTTATTAATGTTGAAATTTATCAGCCAGTTGCAGAATTGCAGGTAGCCATTCTCCCTCTCCATCCTCCACCAATACATAGGAGTTTTTTTGCATCTACAATGGTCTCAGCAGCAAAGGCATCACACAAAATTAATAGTGAAATCACTCTGCCTTAAACTTTTTCGCTCTCATTCCATCTTGTTCATTTTTAATTCTTCAAATGTTGGCAAATTTTTCTGAAGTTGAACTCTAACAGACTGTAAGTTCAGAAAAAGAAATATTAAAATAATCGTTTTCTCATTGTCATGTCCTTCATATAATGGGAAATTACGAAGTCAAATGTCCTGGTCATGCAGTGATGGCAAAGAGATGTAAAAAAATGTGTGATGCATTTGCAGAGTTGTTGTTTTGTTGTTATCTGAACCTACATGTATGACTCTTTGGTCTTTCTTATTGCCTTCACTATAGTCTTTGTTAAAGCTCCTTGATATTGTACTGTTTACATCTACAAGTGAATGTTAGACTTTGGTTTTAATTTTATTCGATGGTGTCTTGTAGGTTCACAAGCTTTTTGCACTTCTTAACCTTTCGCATGCTTATGTGACTACTCTGGGTCGACTGGTGGGCGTTGTAGCTCTTAAAGAGGTAAGTAGAGATCACCCTGACAGTAGAGCAATAATATTTCGTATGACCTTGAAAAATGGTTTTGGTAAGTGTTCGTTATTTGTCTTATCAGCCAATGGATGAAAAGATCAAACCATGGTCTCTTCATTTTCCCACCAAAGAAAACCCAAACTTGAAGAAGGCATTGTTCGATTGGCCAATCGTGTTGCAGTATGACGTCAAAGCGAAGTATTGATTGAATTCTGGAAGGTTCTTAGCTGAGTATTTGCTTAACCAAACAAAAGCCATGCGTCTTTGTATCTGTTCGATATACCAATAAAATCGCTCTATTTTTGTTTGTTTGTTGTTTCTGTTTTGTTTGCGCATTTTCATTTAAAGGTTGTACAAAAATTGCTCTATCAGGATCATAACATAAACCTATTGGCTGCTCTGTGCTTCCTCAAACTACGTAAAGATACCAAAGTCCTTGTAAATATTTGTTTAAAAATATATTACTAATTAACACAGAATTTTTAAACTTTCACTTTGAATTTTTTTCAAGAGTTATTGAACATTAGAAACCCTTATGAAGTTATCAATATACATTTTCATCTTTTTTTGGACACCTTAGTTTGGATGAAAAATAAACATCTATGCACTTTTCACTGTGTGGATTTCAGATAAAACACTCCTTTTTCTTTTTGAAGTGTAAAGTCTCACTTGTTTTCATTGCAGGTTCGCCAGGCAATCGAAGGTGAGAGGTTTATGGATAAAACAAATGTTGATGCTGTGGAGGAGATGGGTAGCGGAAGCTTTATATCAACACAGGATCATGATGTTATGCTTCAGCCATACAATAACGAGCCCCACCCCACTATAGAAGTCTCTGATCCTCATTTGTAAGAGTCCACTCTGTAATTAACCTAGTTAGAGTTAGGTAGTAGGTGTTTACTGTAACCCATCCCAGTAGGATGATTCATGAAGCAGATTTAAAAGTTGTTGCTAAGCGACACTAGTCATAGTATTAATACACAAAGGTAGGCATTATTAGATCCAGTTACCCTCTGACAGAAAAGATTTTGTGGCATTTGCCACTTACTGTTAGAGGTGAGAGTTCAAACTGTTGGTAAAAAACAAATTAAAAACATCCCCTGAAGGGGAGGTGAATAGTGGTGTTGGATATATACCGAGACGCGAAGCGTCGATGTATACATCTAGCGCTATAAACCAACCCTGAGAGGGATAGCTGTTTTGGTATTTACCAAATCAGTTGGATAAAATCAAAAAGGAACTTTTTGTAAATAAAAGATGTCATTTAGTTAGGGCTTGTTTATCATTTCAGTTGAAAGTGTTTTGGGATCATTTTTTTTATATGATTTTGTGGCAAATTCAGTAAGAAAATTTTTTTCTTCCGACCAGTAAACACCAACAAGCCAAATTTTGTCTCTTTCTTGGTATTTGTTGGTGCAGCTGCTTCATTTACCGCCAATATTCATCTTTTGAAACTGTCGCGAAACGAGAAGCCATTTTGAATCTCGTCCCAAAACAGGGAATATCTACGGATATTCCGAGTTAAGGGAGCCAATCAGAACGCTCAAAAGTTGCTATCCACTGATTTGGTGAATACTAATACGCTATATAACTACAAATGGTAAAAGTAATTTGATGCAGTTTGTCTTAGAGTCTGAACGATGTTTTCAAAACCTGGTGCAGTTTTGCATTTGACATCTTTGTTTTTAGAGTAACAATATTTTATGATTGAAGTATATTTAAACTGTAGACACCAGGCAGGCCACAAAAGCATGTTCCACTAGCTACAGTTGAAAATCACCTAATTGGAGATGCAAATTGTTTTAACATGTGGGGAAAACTTAATTGAGTTCAAATTTAGTCTTATAAGTGATAAAAAATAAATATCAACAATAAAATTTAGAAAGATGCTCTGCAGAAAGGGTCCATAAACAATAAGATTTATGGTAGCATGTTCCAGGCATTCTGTGTCAAAGTACGTGGTGGCCTGAGAAACAAACAACATTTCGTGCTGCAACCACTGTTTTCCCCACAAAATGACGTCCGAGAAACGAGAACAGAAATTCCACACTGATGACGTGTCACTACACAGATCTGGGTAGTGCTTCTGATTGGTTGAAGCAAATTTTCAAATTATAAGAAACTATGTGAGAATGTCCTCAAGAAAATTTCTCATGTTTTGACAACAGTATCTTGCTGTAGTAAACTACCAGCAAGCAAACCGTAGCTAACTTTGGTTGGGGTGAGAGGTGAGGGAGGGGTCCAAATTGCTTTGTTTTCTGAAATACAC